TCCTGCTTATGCAGGGGGTTGGACTCGATGATCTATTGAGGTCCCTTCCGAACCTAACATCTATGAATCTATGAATCTATGAACCAGAATATTAAGGGTTGCACGACTTATATAATAAAATTACTTGAACATTTGTACAGTTCTCTAAGTTTTTAACCCATGTACTTTTTGTCCATATCACTGTACAGTTCTTAAACAAGTTCTTAAGCCAATTCAGAATAAAAACCAAAACGAAAACACAGTATTACTGCATAGGTATAATGTCATTATATTACCTGTCCTTTCATAGCAACACAGTCTTCTTCCCCATTGTTTGCATGGGTTGTTTCCTCCTGCAGCCACTTGGTGTATGTCACAGGAGTCCTATCACTCCACTCAAAATACATTTGAATCCTGAGGTCATTGAAACCAATCCACAGTTTATCAGAAGGCTCTAGAACAGAAATTCAATTCTGTTTTTTTCTGTAACATAGCAATCTAGGAGTGCAGGATTTCAGGAGGTCTGTATTTTATAAATCCATACAAGGTAAATTGACAATGATGACTTCTTAAATGTCTTGTCTACATCCCCTTCATTACTCAAGAAGTGGAATTATGACATACCATCAGGAAATTAAATCGTTTTGCTTTCTCAGGAGTGTTAAATTCTATTTTTGTGACCCTGCAATTATCAGATGCCTGAAGGTTAAATAAGCAAGTCTAAATATTGCACTTACTGGATCATGGACACCTCCAAGACATATCTTGAAAATTAATAACAGTCATTCTGCAAATTTTATACATATATTTACATACACATTACATTTTAAATTATATTACACATATATTTACCTCTGTGTTGCTTATAAAAACGTATTAAAAATGTAAACTTCAAGAAGCCTTAAAAAAGTATAGGTTTTATAATGACCCAAGTATGCAAATTGCTACCTGCTGTAGAAATACTCACGAAACCCAAGCTGGTACACAATGAAATTATGCTCTTCACTGTTATGGATACTCGCCAGACTGCTGTCTTCTTTTTCACAGGCAGTCAAAGCTTCTTTCCATACTTTGGGTTCCCTATGAATCATATAACAGTGACCTCCATATGACCTCCATCCATTTGGGCAATTAATAGGTTCTAAAAATGATTCAGAATAATTCTAGTTAGAGCCTGAAATAGGTGCAGTTATACTTAATTATCTAAATGAAAAAATAGGGTGAATACAATGGTGGCATTTTCTCTCATTTTTTATATATAGAAGAATATTGGATTTATTTGATACTTGTGATGAGGGTGCCTACTCATAGCCTGTCACTATACTGGCCCGCCACTTCGTCTAGGGCAGTCTGTCCTGTCTTGTCTGCCATGACTTGTTGAGATCAACCTAATGTAATAAGCAGGAGGCTTCCCATTTTAATACCAAGGTTTATACACAGCTCCAGCCTTCCCTTACCATGTCCCATGCCTCACTGATGACATCCATAGGGCACAGTGCCTTACCATGACCCATGCTCCAGGGTCTCACTGGGACTCTCACTCCCCCATGGAGCTCGCTATCACTGTGCTGCCACACTGTGCACAAAACTACCCACTATGATGTCTGCTCTGGCCCTTAAAGTGACAGGTACCCAAGGATGCTCTGTCACAATACTACACAGAGACTTTTGTAGAGCTGATATAAATGCATTCAAGCCACATAAAAAAGGGACCGGAATAGTGGTAACTGGCAATATCAACACTATAAGATATCCAAATTTGGTCAGAGTCATCTTTTTAAAATTCCAGATATAATAAAATGCATTGCACTTAATTACCCTTTTTGAATAATTTGAGAATTATTGCAGCACTAGAAATTGTCTCTCTTAATATGGTTCTACTTTATGAGTTCTCATTAAGCAGCTTCTCAGAGACTGTGGCCATCTACATGAGCCATGACAGTGGTATCTACATGAGCCATGACAGTGGTATCTACATGAGCAATGGACTGTACAGTGGTTACTGCATAGTCATTTAGTACTTGCATAACCAGTACTAAATGTCTGCACAGTAACCAGC